TCAGGCAACGTGGGCACACTGTCCCTCTGCCCGAAAGCCCGTCAGCGCCCAATCTGCCTGCCGCACTTTCCTGTGCTCGAGAAGCTTGGCCGAGGCCCTTTCTTGAGTGAACCACTTGCCTTCCAGGTGGCGGGCGCGCTGGTCCTCATCTCTGACGCCCGCTCCTCGCGGCTTGGCTCGTCTCCAAGCACAGCAGCCAGTCCAGCCCTCGTCGCCACGCCCGCCAGCAACCTGCGGCGCGCAGGGAGACCTGCCGGCAGCTTGCGCCCTGAAGGCGCAGCTACGCAGCCGACACTGGGAACAAACCGCAGAGCAAGGCGATAAAGAACACACAGCATCACGAGACAAACGGCTTGGGGAGAGAGCGCAGGCATGCACGGTGGAGAATAAGAAGGGGTGCGAAGAGGGGGTCGTGGGGCCCCTGGCGGTGTTGGCACCGAGCAGCAGTCTGCGCCCCTGCTGCGGGCAAGCTCCAGGCCTTAGGGCAGCCTCCGAGGCCAGCCGCCGTGGTGTTGGGCAAGGGCTGCGCTGCGTACCACACACGCAGCTTAGAAACCTGATTGACTCTCCATTTGCCCAGAGTTCCTCCAAGAATCAACTCTTTGCTGACATACGCACACAATAAAGTCAGCTCCGGTTCAGCTAACTTTAGACACAGACGAAGGAAAATCCTGTCATGTCTGGAGAGAGAGTCCATCTCACTATTATTTTCCTGCAAAGAAAAGTAAAAACTACCTGGTAGGGGCTGAGTGCCATGCTGGTGGAGGGTGGGGCACGAGTCGATCCCTATTGACATGAAACGAGAAAAAGCCTGGCTTTTGGGAAGACGGGCATGGTCCGCTAGCAGAGACTTCCCACCAACCTCAACAGACAGGCAAAAGACAGAGAACGTTGAGCACCGAGCTTCGGGCCACCGTACACCAGGAGCTCCTGCTTTTGTGATCTTCACTTTTTCTTCAGAAACGGCGACGGATCCACCTACGCACTACTCCGAGAGCATGGACATCCAGGACCCTATGGGGGGTTCGCTGTCTCTACACCTGGAGCATTCAGCACACAGGACATGGTTCACGTAACGCTAGTAGACATAACCTATTCATATCAATACTGAAGGCTCTCTTTTTTTTTTTTTTTTTGAGACTGAGTCTCACTCCTGTCGCACAGGTTAGAGTGCCCGTGCGTCAGCCTCGCTCACAGCAATCCAAACTCTGGCTTTCCAAGCGACTCCTTCTGCCCTCAGCCTAAAGTAGCTGGGAACTGATAGGCGTGGCAACCTCCAGCCGGCAGAGAGGTTCTTTTTTTTTGTTATTCTTGAGAACAGAGTCTTCACTCCTGTTTCCCAGGCTAGAGTGGCTTGTGGTGTCAGCCTTAGCTCACAGCAATCTCCAACTCCTCCCTCAGACCTCCAGGTACTGGGACTACAGGCACACGCCATGTCCAATTTTCTTATATATTTTGTTTGGTCATTAATTTTCTTTCATTTTTTTAGTCGAGACTTTAACTCTGATACGTTTTCGCTCTCACTTTTTTCTACCTTCTTAATTTTCTCTCTCTGCCTTTATCTCATTATTGTTTTTTTCTTATCCGTCATACTTTTGTTTATAACACATCAAAATTCTTATTTTGAATAAGAAAAGCGGTGTCCAAGTAAATAACAAGAAATTCCAATTTAACATTAGCTGAGTGCAAATCTCCCTTAAAAAGAATCCTACTCGAACATTTCTCTTATTCTTCTTGTATCTCCAGTAATAGAACATCAAAATGCGTGGAGTCATTACTCTAGGATGCTCCAAAAAAAGCCATCAACATGCCTGGTTTCTCTTCTTAGGCTGCTGAAATACAAGACAAATTTATATAATGCACCAACTATATCAGTTACACACTCTATCCCTGAAACTTTCACTTCAGCATTGTGAGGCCGCATTCAGAAAAACTCTTACATGTACGTATTGTCACCCAATTGTTAATGATCTAGCCACTGTCAGGAACGTCCAAGTGAATAATTTTTTGAATTCCCATCACCGTCTGCCAGTTTGCTGTGGGGCGTCGATTGAAACAGACAGGCTGGGCTAAGACACAGGCTTTCACCACGGTGGTCGAGGCTATCGCGGACTACGGCGACGGCCCGGGCGCTCGAGGGTGGCAGGGGAGAGTCTCCCACCGGGAGAGGAGGGGGCCTGTGCGCGCGCTTTCACCTTCTCTCCGCTTACAAAAGGACACTTATAATTCTAACTTATTTGCTTGCTCCCCCGTTGGTGCAAAAACCCGAAAAACTCCCCGTTACAGCGAAAGGATTCACCAGCTTCCTTACTCTGGTCCCTTCAAATGCAACTTGCCCCGCGCGCTGTGTCCAATGCCGTCCCGTGCTCCATTTGGCCTCTGCCTTGAAACAATCATGTCATGAATGCTATATTACGCTATTCTAAACTCATCAGAAGTCTCCCGGGGGAGATAGTCTTCTCCTTGGAGAAATACAACTTACTTGAGAGGTGGCACATTCCAGGATGTCCTTTAGTTCGGGGGTTGGATGTAATCTTATTAAAACAACCCCGTTCCACAAGTCGTGGTGTTGGCAAACCAGTTGGTTTTCCTCTTAACCTAAAGAGAAAGGCAATCAATAATTAAAAATTAAATTTACATGGAACTTTCTTTGTTTTTTTTTTTTTTACAGAAAGCACACTCTTTATTTATGGGGGGGGGGGGGGGGGGGGGGGGCGGGGACTCTGCTTTTTTTTTTTTTTTCTTTCTTTTTTGAGAACAGAGTGCTTCCCGCTTTGCTGGCCAGCGAGAAGTCGGAGGTGCCCCCATGGCGTCCGCTCAGCCGCTCCCATAGCGAACCTAAAAAATCCCTTGCAGCCCTCGCCGACAAGCAAATCCTGCGGGCGGGCTCTGCCCAAGCTCCCAGAAAGTACTGGGATCACAGCATGTCTGCGCCAAACATGCCGGCTCAATTCTTCTGTCTATATACTATTCATCCCACTTTGCCATTAATCTTTCTCTATTTATAGTAGAAGACAACGGTTCTCGCTCCTGCTCAAGGCTGGCAGTATCCTTAAACGTCTTCATAATTCCTGGGGCAACATTCTGTCCAGCATTTTCGTTACTCATGGATGTATCCCACACTTTCGAAGCTTCTGCGTTATATTCATAAATGTACGCAAAAATAATTAAATAATTGTTTAACCTTTCTCTTTTCTGAAATTGAGAAAATGGCTTCAATGCCATCACTGTGCTTTGTTTGTTTTTTGTTTCGGAGGCTAAGGAATCAAAATTTATCCATCAAAGCCGTGTCTGGATTTGGAAAGTTTTAAGTGTGAGAACATCTTCCAGCTCTTACCCCATCGGTCTTTTTACTACTGCACACCGCACATGGAACTACCTAACAGTGACCTTTTGTTATTAGCAAGCAAAGGGTCTTACAGAGTGCCAGTAACTCTTCTAGCACGGCTTCTGTTTGTTCCACAAGCGGCCAACATGGCATGTCCCTCTACTTCAGCTCCAACTCCTCAACAGTCCTTAGGCACACAACGGTTGCCTGGTTGCTCCTCCCTCCCTGTGCTGCCTGGCTGGTGCCCTGAAGAACTCGCTCTTGAACACCTCTCATGCTTTAACTCTAGAAACAAATCAGGAGCTATCTTGACTGACTGAAGTGCCAAACAACTTGACAGGCCTCATCTGGACCTCAGTGCTTTGAACAGACACGACGGCCCAATTCTCTGTGCACTGGAAGGGAGCCAGAAGCACGGAACTTTCTCCACCAAGGACTGCATGCATGTACCCCCCACACCTGCCGAACCAACGTGTTCCTCCCTAGGCTTGGCGGCGCTTGGCTCAGGGAAGCCTTTGGGAAATCCCTGCGTCGCCCAGCACACCGAACGCCCTTTCCAGCGGTTCACCCTTCCCGCCGGTCCATCCTTAAACTCTCCTGTGCCTGCGGCAACAACGCTATAGGTCTTGATGTTGGCAAGCCCAGATAGAGACCCTATCAGACAAATACAGAGTTTGCACTTACTTTCAGACGAAGAAGCGAGCGTTTCTGG